TGGACAGGCGACCCTACTCCTTGTCATGTACAACCGGGGAATCGAAACCACGTCAGTTGACTCAATGACAGACCTTATGATATTTACGTCTTGTGGCTTTCCCTTCTTAAGAGTTAGTCATCCGTATATGATCCGGTTCAAGATGAAAACCTCATAATTTTATCGTGTTTTTGTGTCATTTACGGACAGGTTTTTGTTTTATAAAATCTAAGTAAACCAAGAGTTATTCGGATATTCGCATCCTCCCTCTGTACAAGATCATCCATTACGCTCTGGTGATTTAGTTTAATTATTCTCGAACTTAATATTTTCTAGGTCAACGATCAAGTAAGTTCGCATGACGTAGGGGGGTACTAGACTCCGACTAAAGTCGGTCCGTTAAATTTCTGTTGCTGGAAAGTCAATTTCATTATCCGTTATCTAACGGACCGATTAAAGTTAGTCCATCCAAGAAAGATTGTTTGTTCATTGACTGAATTTTGAATTTTTAAATTCATATAAGTTAATATTAACATGAAACTAAAGAAAGTGGAACAACAGTGCAGTATGTTCACAAAACTTGATTAAAGATAAAAAGATAACTGTAGAATTTACTATAGAAAACACTATAATTTAACTATAGAATACTTTATTTTTACCTTTACAAATTTTAGCATAAATCTGTAGGGAAAATTATAGCATTTGCACTACAGAAAACAGTATAAAAAAACAGATTACCTTATTTTTACCTTTAGAAATTTTAGCATAAATCTGTAGGAAAAATTATGGGATTTGCACTACAGAATATTTGGGGCCATTTTTTCCAAAATTCTGTAGATTACTGTAGAATTTTATCCTTTAGAAAATGGAATAGCCCCTCCATCGCCCAACCCAATGTTCTATAGAAAATTACACTGGTAATCTATGACTTTTTGCTACAGCCCACTAATGCCATTGTTAAACAGATAACGGGGCCCAACACCTCTGTTAAATATAACGGCAAATTAACGACATGTACTTAGAACATGTACTTAGAATACTTAGTACTTAGTACGAGTACTTAGAATAAGGCTATTTTTTATTTTCTGGAGCTGTCAAGCCAGCAAGAGTGTTATTGTCCCTTTAAGAGCGAGAGAGAGTGTGCGCGTGTGTGAGAGAGTTTAATGACTTTAGCTACTTTCAACGTCGTTTACATACAATAAAGCCCATTAATCTATTTCACTCTATTAGGTTAGTATTTACGTCTTGTGGCTTTCCCTTCTTAAGAGTGAGTCATCCGTATATGATCCGGTTCAAGATGAAAACCTCATAATATTATCGTGTTTTTGTGTCATTTAAGGACAGGTTTTTGTTTTATAAAATCTAAGTCAACCACGAGTTATTAGGATATTCGCATCCTCCCTCTGTACAAAATCATCCATTACGCTTTGGTGATTTAGTTTAAAGATACATTATGGGAGAATCGGTAACGAGTTGGCAGTTCTCGCTATAATAGTTAAAAACTAGATAAGGTAGAAGGCAATTTGGTGAAAATTTCATTCAAATTGATCCACTAAGCGACTGAAATTCCCATAAGCCTCGGTCATCATTACTAAAGTCAGTACGATAAACAGCATAGTCTCGATTATCCACTTAATCGTTTAATGAGAAGGAAAGTTATGCAGTAAATCGGCTTACAATCCACTAAAGATCGCAGGCTAGCGCAGCCATCTAGAGTTGATTATGGCCTGGATAGGTTAATTAATATCTAATTAATAAGTTAGATAACATTTCAGGCCTAAAGAAAGAACTGAAATAGGCAGATTTAGCTCTTGCATAATGCATGTTTAATTATTCTCGAACTTAATATTTTCTAGGTCAACGGTCAAGTAAGTTCGCATGACGTAGGGGGGTACTAGACTCCGACTAAAGTGAGTCGGTCCGTTAAATTTCTATTGCTGGAAAGTCAATTTCAGTATCCGTTATCTAACGGACTGATTAAAGTTAATCCACCCAAGAAAGATTGTTTGTTCATTGACTGAATTTTAAATTTTTAAATTAACCGGAAACTAAAGAAAGTGGAACAACAGTGCAGTGTGTTCACAAAACTTGATTTAAGACAAAAAGATAACTGTAGAATTTACTATAGAAAACACTATAAATAATCTATAAAATACTTTATTTTTACCTTTACAAATTTTAGCATAAATCTGTAGGGAAAATTATAGCATTTGCACTACAGAAAACAGTATAAAAAAACCAGATTACCTTATTTTTACCTTTAGAAATTTTAGCATAAATCTGTAGGAAAAATTATTGGATTTGCACTACAGAAACTAGAATATTTGGGACCATTATTTCCAAAATTCTGTAGAATAATATAAAATTTCATCCTGTAGAAAATAGAATAGCCCCTCCATCGCCCAACCCTCTAGAATGTTCTATAGAAAATTACACTGGTAATCTTTGACTTTTTGCTACAGCCCACTAATGCCATTGTTAAACAGATAACGGGGCCCAACACCTCTGTTAAATATAACGGCAAATTAACGACATGTTAAGTTAACGGGTCTTCCAACAACAGCCTTTCTCTCGGTTAACGGGTCTTCCAACAACAGCCTTTCTCTCCGTCAACGGGTCTTCCAGCAACAGACTTTCTCTCGGTTAACGGGTCTTCCAGCAACAGACTTTCTCTCGGTTAACGGGTCTTCCAACAACAGACTTTCTCTCGGTTAACGGGTCTTCCAGCAACAGACTTTCTCTCGGTTAACGGGTCTTCCAACAACAGACTTTCTCTCGGTTAACGGGTCTTCCAACAACAGCCTTTCTCTCGGTTAACGGGTCTTCCAGCAACAGACTTTCTCTCGGTTAACGGGTCTTCCAACAACAGACTTTCTCTCGGTTAACGTGTCTTCCAACAACAGCCTTTCTCTCGGTTAACGGGTCTTCCAACAACAGCCTTTCTCTCGGTTATCGGGTCTTCCAACAACAGCCTTTCTCTCGGTTAACGGGTCTTCCAACAACAGCCTTTCTCTCGGTTAACGGGTCTTCCAGCAACAGACTTTCTCTCGGTTAACGGGTCTTCCAACAACAGCCTTACTCTCGGTTAACGGGTCTTCCAGCAACAGACTTTCTCTCGGTTAAAGATAACGATTCGTTACCTCCATGTTAATGAGTCGTTAAACGTTAACGGAGCTTTGAACAATCGGCCCCAGGAGAATTATTGTCGAAACATTTCTCCTATTAAATTCAGTTATTGCATTCCGTAAAGGACTTACAAAATGCCACGTAAACAATTGACTTAGAGCTACCACGTTTGTTTTAATTTTGGGTTTGTGTGAAACCAGGGTGTTGTGAAACTTCTGTCGACAAACACAATCAATGGTATAACTATTACAACATCAAGTGGGCATGATGTTTGAGGTCATCTAGTGACCCCTTTCTTCTTAAACCTATCTCTGTTAATCTTTCTTCGAATCCCCGGTTGAACGTGGCAAGGAGTAGGGTTGCCTGTCCAACCTCGTGGGGTTTCTCCGGGGCATCCGGTTTCCTCCCACTGCTAAAAAACCCCCTACGCGCAATCGAATTATTGAAATAAAATTAACCATATGTTAGTCCCGAAATGACCTAGTCTGTATCGAGTGGACGTTAAACCCCATTTCTCTCTCTCATTAATCTTTCTTCTTTCTACTTAAGCCTATCTCTGTTAATCTTTCTTCTTTCGGAGAGCGACCCTTCTCTTTCTAGACACCGAAACTCTTGAATAATCTCCCCTTTTCCATAAGGTCAGCAAAATCTATTACAACCTTCAAAAAATCACTAAAAACACATTTTCATACATAGGCTTTTAGTTATAAAGTTTTTATATATCTCGTATTTTGATCATGTGACAATGTCATTTTCTATTTGTGTGTAATTTTATCATGTAGACTTTCAAAATATTTTTGTAAAGCGCCTCTGAGCATTGCTCTGGGGTGGAAGATAAGCGCTGTATAAATATCGCTTTGATAATAATAACAATAACAATAATAATATGAAGATATTTTCCTAAAATAAAACAGAATGAACAGGTGTTACGGTGTCTGTTAAAGATACATTTTTTAAGATTTAGATAAAGAGCTGGTCATTCTTGTTATAATAGCTCAAAAACAGATAATGTAAAATGAAAATATTGAAAATTTCATTCAAATTACTTCATTCAGAGCCTAGTTATCACTGTTTGTAGTTTTGACAAGATGCATGCATTGTGGTAACCAGGACACTGGTATATTCAAGTCTTAGCCTAGCTTTCCCATTTTTAAATCAACTTTTTAAATAGCGAACCGTTCTAATTTAGTTAAAATCTCGAGTATCCGATGTCATCGAGAGTTGATTATGGTCTTGTTTCGTTAATAAATGTCTAATTAATAGTTTAGATAACATTTCAGGCCTAAAGAAAGACCTGCAATAGGCAGATTTACCTCTTGCATAATGTATGTTTAAATTAAAGAAACTTATATGGGCATACTACTTCTGAATTTATTAACATGCTACGTTTCGATACACATACAGGTATCGTTATCAAGCAAATATCTGTATGTGTATCTAAACGTAGCAGGTTAATAAATTCAGAAGTAGTATATCCATACAAGTGTTTTGAATTTGTGAAATCTACCTCTATATGTCTTATAAGGATAATCTATGTTTAATTAATATCTCTTAAAAAAAAAAAAACCCAAAAAAAACCCAACCCAAAATGAATCGGTGTTACGGTGTCTGTTAAATATCTCTCCAAATAAAACAAAAGAGCCGTTATTACCGTATAAATCTTAATAAAGATTAAATCACAGAAAAAAATCGGGTAGGTTTTTTCACAACAATCAGTTAATTAACACAACATGAATCGGATAATTACAGCGCAGGATAAATAAAAACCCGTCTCCGTGTGTGATATGTACGTATCAGGTAAGTGACCCAGCATGTCTAAAAATGTCACACAACCTGCACACAATTAAGCCTCGGGGCATTTTCTTTAAAGCTATAAAGAACAGGTAACTGCTGCAACATGTTCATTTACACGAGTTGACGTGCTCGTACCTGACTCGCACCTGACGTGTGCTCACCAACGTCAATTGTCTGAGTTTAATTAACGTGGGAGTATTTTCAACCTGTGATTCACCTGAGATTAAATTACGCTGGAGTATTTTCAATTCGTACATTATTATCTATATAAGGATTATTATAAGTTTACCTTCTCGCCATGTTACCTGGGCAATATACGGTAAATATACCTTTACGTTCCTTTGATCTTTTTATCAAATAGATTGTCTTTCATTTAGCTTTATTTTACTATGGTTCGTTTTATTCAAAAGTTTTTTGGGTGTCTTAAGTTTGAATTATTTGTTTTATAAATGTTTCGAAAAAATGAAAATAAATTTTAATCTGTATTTAAAAAAAAAACAACAACAAAAATTTATCTTTAGTAAGAATATGTAAATATCTAAATTTAGTAGTAAAACTGTTTATTTTACTGGAATTTCAATTTTAGAATGCCATTTAGGCCCTTGTTGTTGGGAGGGGGGGGGGTGCATGGCCGAATGGTTGGCACATATCATAAGGCCTGTCATTGAGTCAACTGCCGTGGTTTCGATTCCCCGGTTGTTCGTGGCAAGGAGTAAGGTCGCCTGTCCAGCCTCGTTGGTCTTCTCCGGGTCCTCCGGTTTCCTTCCACTGCGAACATCGCCTTAACACTTGTATTAAGCGAGCATCACCGTAAAACTTGTATTAAGCGAACATCACCGTAACACTTGTATTAATTAAGCGAACACCACCGTAACACTTGTATTAAGTGAACATCCCGAAACACTTGTATTAAGCGAACTATTGAATTAAAATTGTATCATGTCTTTAGACTAAGTAAAGTAATATTGGTTTCACGGTTCGACTCAGTCCCTGTTTTGGTTCGGTAAATTATATACGCCGAGTTACAAATTAAAGGAGCTAAATCGCTAACATTTGAGACCTAGAAATTCACAAAAGTGGGTCGCAACGCATATAATACTGTAATATGAATGTATATAAACTGATTTATATTTAATGGTTTCCGTTTTTACTCCAATTTCAAATCAGTTATGTTCGGGGAAATAAGTCAGCAATCTCAATCGAGTGCAAATTTCTAGCGTCTAGTTATTCTAGTCTACATAACTCCATTTGATTTGGTGCAAGTGTCTAGCCTCGTCCCCCGAGTCTCTCAATACAACTGGGGCTGAAGCGCATTATGGTACACGATTCGTGTACCAATGTTAAAAAAATTATTTTATCTTAAATCTCGGATATCAGAAGCTCATCTTTTCCCGGAAAGTTTACATCATCAATGTTGATTTAAATTGACCAATAATTCGTGTTTTTGATGTCGAAGATTTTGGAGGATTTTGAGTTACGGACTTAGGTCCTTTAAAGGACCTTCAAAAAACATACACCACTGACAAATGAAATTTCTGACAGAAAACCATGCGGAATATTCTCGGCCAAGACCGGGATCGAACCTGTCGACCTCTAATTGTCAAGCCAGCGTCTTACTCTGACGATAACGGCGGATTCGTATCAAAACAAAGTCATAAAAATAAAGCCCAGAACGTTTTTATTTAATTTAAGTTTTTTTGCCTTAGGAACCAGGTCAAACCGGTTACTAATGTACCAAAATACCACTAATTCACAAGGGGTGTGGACTGGCTGAATGGTTAGCGCGTGCACGTTGTATCAAGGTCTGTCATTGAGTCAACTGGCTTTGTTTTGATTCTTCGGTTGTACGTGACATGGAGTAGGCTCGCCTGTCCAACCTCGTGGATTTTCTCCGGGTCCTCCGGTTTCCCCCCACTGCTAAAGACCTCTACGCGCAAGCGATGTGCTGAAATAAAATTGAACCATATGTTAGTCCCGAAATAACCTGGTTTGTGTCGAGTGGACACAAGGAAATACGTCGTATATTTATATCTACCTGTCGTCCCAGGTCGGTTTGTAACATGTCATGGTGTCTTTACATTAAGTACAGTAATGTCGTTGTCACGGTTCGACTTGGTCCCCACTTTGGTTCGGAACAATACTTCCTTTGTAACATGTCATGATGTCTTTACATTAAGTACAATAATATCGTTGTCACGGTTCGACTCGGTCTCCGCTTTGGTTCGGAACAATACTGTCTTTGAGATACAAAATAAGGGACCTTTACGTTGACATTAATACAAGCGAGTCTTAATAAAATACACCACATAAAAAATGGAAATCATGCCAGAAAATCCCTAAGAACACACGTATTCATTTAAGTTTTATGCGCAGAGGAATTGAAATGAAATGGGGTTTAATGTCCCACTGTTCTGCGCAAGGAGTCCCTCCAAACCGGTTACAACTGTTTTCAAATAACGCTATTTTATAAAAGTCCTAGAGGCTTGTCTGTCAGTTTGCCTTTAGGCACACCTATAAATCACAAGATTAGACATAAAACATAGGTAAAATACAGCCTAATTACTCTTTTATTACAACAACATCATTTATTTATTTTGTATTAAGAACAAAACGAAGAGCAAAAATGAAATGAGGTCGTGTTCTAGGCTATACTTATCTGCTGTATTTTTTTTACATTGATTTGAGATCGATGGGTTTCATATGAAATTAAATGGGGTTTAATGTCCACTGTTCTGCATCAGCCGGCTTCATGAAAACGGTCACACGCCAAACAATGTTCTTTGAGGCGGAATTGACAGTAATAGATTATTAGGGAATAACATTATTTGCCAAAATCACGTATGATAATTTATTCAAATATCTGAACATTAATGACATGACCTATAACTATATCATCATGAAATAAAATGGGGTTCAAGAACTACTTTTCTATACCAACTAGGTCAATGGAAGACGGTCATCCACCTTGCAGTGTGCTTGCTATAAGGGGAATTTTGCCCAGGCAGCGACTGCTAAGGCCTACTCATGTGTACAAGGGACCCGTTGTTCATGCCATCCGTGTATTTACATGTAATTTAAACATAAGATCCTAATTACATCTAAATTGAATGCAAGGTTCTATTTACATGTAATTCAAAAATAAGTTTCTAATTATATGTAATTTAAACATAAGTTTCTATTTACATGTAAAATTAGTATATAGTTCTATATAAAATGACCTATTCCAAACACGAATTGAATGGTTAGTTATAAGCTATCAGTTGAAATTATTTCTTAAAACTGGATTGTTGAAAGGGGTTACTTCTGCTAAAACTAGACAGCAGCACGTCAATAAATCCAATTATTACTGCGAGGTTATTCTTCATAGAATGTATCAACCAATTTATCACTGCCTGGCCAAGGATCTATCTTAATAAATTTACCTGTATGTTTCTTAACATGTAATGTTACGTAAATAATGACAATATGACGTAAATGATGACAATGTGAAGAAAATGGTGACGTGTAAAAGTAATGTGCTAATAATACATTTATATGTGAGTTTTATTAAATGGCCTATGCTGTTTATATATTAATCTGGGTATGATATGTGAAGTAAATAACGACAATATGACGTAAATGATGACATTTTGACGAAAATGATGACGTATAAAATTAATAATACATTTATGTGTTTTATCAAATGGCCTGTGGTGTTTATATATTTATCTTTTGTTTTCCAGGAAAGAAATGGGTATGATATGGAGAAAGGGGTAAGTTCAGTAATTACCTATGGGGTTGTCAATATACTGCCCTTTTTCTATTATATGTTACCAATAAATATTCTTCTTATTTTTCAAAAGCGACAAACGAAATAACAGTTTCCTTTTCGTGGAAACCCCACGAAAGTTGGTCTTTCCACCATATACATAGTCTTGATTATCCAACCTATCCACGTTAGTGTAATTATCATTCGAAACTTACGCTGGTTGTCCGCGACTATCTTCGCATGAGAACAGACATGAAGTTAATGGACCGCCATTTTAATTCCTAAATCGACTAGTTCAGTCGAAAACACTAGGTAAACTTCGAGAATTGAAAATGTGTATTTAATATTTCAATGTCTGTGTGTATGAAAGGTGTAAACTGCTTGACTGCCATTAGCTCCGTAAGAGAACAGACACGAAGTTAGCGGACCGCCATTTTAATTCTAAAATCGACTAGTTCAGTCGAAAACACTATGTAAACTTCGAGAATTGAACATGTGTATTTAGTGTTTATGTGTATGAAAGGTGTAAACTGTATTTGAACCTCACTACAAAATAGTAGACTAATTTTTCATTTTCAATATGGACGCCATTTTAATTCCTAAATCGACTAGTTCAGTCGAAAACACTAGGTAAACTTCGAGAATTGAAAATGTGTATTTAGTGTTTGCGTATATGAAAGATATAAACTGCATTTAAACCGCATTACACAATAGTATACTAATTTTTCATATTCAATATGGAGGCCATTCAGGACAGAGATCGATTCTCAGAGTAGACAGTTCTCTGTGTGCAGAATGTGTAATTATGTATGGTTTTTTTTCACAATTAGAAATTTCACAATTTCTGTGATGGCAATGAGGTAGTAATAGAAGAAGAACAAGATCCATGGAAGGTTTCCGCCGTCGTTGTTTCCCAAACACCCTTTGCAGGTACGTACGGTTATTACAACAAAATTATTAAAGTAGCAATATTCAATCTGATTTAAAACACAGTTCCTATTTCGTTTCGTTTTTTATAGTTCAAAATTTGGTTTGACTTATCTTTGCTGTTGAAATCCCCATACGGCATTTAGTAATTGAACATATACTATAAAAACAAATTTATATGGAAAACAATCACTGAGTTTATTTCACACTACGTTTTAACTATATTGTCTTTACAATAGGCCATCAAAAGTATAAAAAAAACCCGAAACGAAATATAGATCTGTATTGTAATCAGATTGTAGCAATATATGTATTTATTGAAAAAAAAACCCACCCAACAAAATAAGCACACCCAGTCCTTGAACGGCGCTAAAACATAATATATTGCGGCCATCTACAAACTGGTTTTATCTTAGAAACTTTTGAAAAATCGTGGTGTCAATAGACACCAATAAAACATCCAATTTTATTAGATATGTCACCTCAACAACAAAACAGCTGAAATCCATAAGTATGGTTTAATGGTCGAGAGCGAGACATTAATATACTCATACTGCACCCGCACGTGCTTTTCAATGAAATACGTCACGCGAGTCCAATATTTCATTTAGTATAGATACTGTACGATTGGAAAGTTGCCCGTACATTATAGGAAATAAAGATACGCCAACATCAAAGGGTGACGTCACATCTGTATTTTAAAACAGAATATTAAATGAATATTTCAAATTGTTGCGGGGGGGGGGGGGCTGATTAAATTATACACATGTAATACTTTACAGTTGTTCTTGTCAACTTTATACCCGAAACTTTAAAATAATCAACGCTTAGTTTCACTTTTTTGCATAGTTTTGGTTGTTCGCTAAATGAATTGCACTTCTATTTTTATTTAAAAAAACCCCAAAACAACAAAAATGAAATAACGCTAAATTTTCACCATTTGTTAGTTATATTTTTATCACAGTGTCTAACATTTGAATGAAGGAAAGGTCGTGCAGATTCATTACGTGTATCTGAATGGTGAATAAAAACTTGTATTATACCATTTCAATATAATTTAAGAAAAAAAATATCGAAGAAACTATAGTGAAGAATAAATTGCAGTTCCCGGTAGGCGATGCGTACAAATCTTGTTTAAATCTACACAATTTATAATCGATGTACGCACGATGGATTTTTTATTTATGTTAACTAGGTTGTCATTGTGCACTCAACTGAAATGAAATAACATGAATTGAAATGGGATATAACGTTCTACTGTTCTGCTCCGACTCTAGTCGTTTTGCATACAAATTATTTAAATAATAGAAACCTTTCGCATCGGCACGAAAACGAACACCAAAACGAAGATATGTTCGTTTACGTTTTCGTTTTCGTATCCTCTAACACGCGGTACGATAATAGCTAAATGTCGTTAATTTCCACCCTCTAAACTTGTCGGTCAAGGCAAAGTTTTCAGTCGACTTTTTGGCGGATGTACAACAAATCAAGTAGAATATTACATCTGAGCACATTCTACAAACTCTACACAATCAACAATATACACAAGGTCTCGAAAATTGTGGAAAATTCAATATATGAGACAAGAAACATTTTTTATTTACATACCTACGTAAATCGAGCTACACACCCGTGACGTTTTTCACTAGTTGAACACTCATTAAGGATTGACGTCATAAATACACACGAATCGATGACGTTTTCGTGCCGATGCGAAAGGTCCCTAATACTGGATGCTAATACGAACAGGTAAGATTTAGATAAAGAGCTGACTGTTCTTGCTATAATAGCTCAAAAATAATACACAAAAAAAACCCACATACTTATAGAAAAACAGCTACTTATTTATTTGGGCGATGTTTCGAAGAGTATTCTCTCAACAGTAATACAAGAATTATGAGATCAATATATACAGAAAACTATTACAACAATTCATGAAACCATACAGGACAACAACACGATCAAAGGGGGTTATTCTACAAAAACAAATTAACACTAAGTTCAAAAATAGATAATGAAAAATGGATATTTGAGAATTTCCGTCAAATTACTTAATTCTGAACAAAGTTATGTGTGTTTGAAGTTTTGACAAAAATAACAGTGATTGGTAGATGGAAACCCCGTCACTTAGCCCCTGAATCAATAGGATCCCCTTCATCAGGTTCTCCAGCATCTAACTCAGTACCCCCCCCCCCTTCTGTTGACGAGACGTTAAACTCCATTCCACAAGAATGGTATACCTACTCCAACCATACAAATAAACCGAGGTATACTCGTGTTCATACTAACGTGCACGTAAAAGAACCAATGGTTTCTGGAATTCAGGGACGAATAGGCGATACGCCGCTGTCCGTACAAAATCCGCTCATCTCGTTGCTCTTAAGTAACCACTGAGATAAAAAAGAAAAATGAAATGAAACGAAATGGGGTTTAACGTCTGAACGGACCAGGATAATGAATAATGAAGACGGATGTGCTTTGGGGCATTCTGCCCAGACAGTGGCAACTGTCAAGGGTTGTTGTACGTCCAAACTAACCACGAGACATTGTTTCTTGCCAGAGTCTTCTTCATAATCAAGAGGATATACAGGGTTGAACAATGCCGAGTAACTGTCCGGGATCGGACCTCGCCCCCCTCTGCGTTGCGGAGACATCTAGCCCCATTCCATTCAAAATATTCGATCTTTTTTAATGTATATACATGCAGTTTGTCTTTGTATTTTCAGAGCTGGATTCAGTTGGCAAAGTACAGCGAGTTGTTGGAATGACTGTTCGTGTTATTCTGGTCATAGCCTGTTTATATTTCTTTATCTGTTCTCTGGATTTCCTGAGTTCAGCTTTCAAACTACTTGGTGGTAAGTTCGCCGTTCTAGTTTCTTGCACCACCAATAACAAACCCGTGACGTATCATCCAGCTGGTTTGATTAAAAATACATTATGCAAGAGCTATATCTGTCTATTGCAGGTCTTTCTTTAGGCCTGGAATGTTATCTTAATTATTAATTAGACATTAATTAACCTATCCAGACCATAATCAACTATCGATGGCATCGCTAGCCTGCGATCTTTAGTGGTTTGTGAGCCGATTTACTGCATAACTTTCCTTCATAGTCTCGATTATCCATTTGTCTAGTTGTTTGGATGGGACGAAAAACCGAGTTCCCGTGTACATATTGGCGTGCACGTAAAAGATCCCTTGACAGTTGAAATTCGATATAAGAGTAGGCCGTAGTGCCGTTTTCCGGGCAAAATTTCCCTCATAGTACACTGTATGGCGTATGCCCGTCTTCATTAGCCCAGTTCGGAGCAGAACAGTAGGACGTTAAACCCCATTTCATTTCATTTCATTTCTTCCCGGGTTTATCAACGTTGAGTGTTCAGAGAGAGAGAGAGCGAAACGGGGTTTAACGTCCACTCGACACAAACTAGGTCATTTCGGGACTAACATATGGTTTTTAATTTTATTTCCATAAATCGCTTGCGCGTAGGGGTCTTTAGCAGTGGGAGGAAACCGGAGTTGAGTGTTCAAGTAGTACATTTATATATTGTATAAATCCAAAGAAATGTCGGATATTGTCGGGTTATTATTGCATGTGTGATCGACAAAAAAGATTATTAATTTGCTTTTATTTTAGGTAAGAAAGCTGGCGAAGTTTTCCGGAACAATGATATCTTAAAGAATCCTGTGGCTGGTTTAATGATGGGTGTGCTGGTCACTGTTTTAGTACAGAGTTCCTCCACATCAACATCTATTATCATCAGTATGGTCGGTGCTCAGAGTAAGTCCCAAATATGAAATCAATCTTTAGACAAGTCTTTTGAAGCTGTGGATTAGATGCTGACACGAAGAAGGTCAGGCCTTGAGTTCACAAAACATTCTCAGACATAAGTTAAGAATTTACTCAACTTTTATTCACTGTTTATGAGAAATATCTTAGACGAAGTAATTTGATTGGTCGAGACTTTGGAACATAACTTGGGTTCTAATTTGCTGAGAGTGATGAAATTCTTTAAATTCGACGCTGAGAATTTTCCGTGTAGGCTATGTAGCGATAAGCAATTTAATTGCTCAAGACTTTGGAACATAAGAACTCTGCTTTTAATTAAGCTAGAATGGTTAAACTTGGTATAGATGTTCATTAGGTCCATATCAGTGATGAACAATTCCCTGTAAAGCTAAGCAAATTCATTTATCGATGCTTTGGGACAAGATAACTTTGATTGTAACTGATGGAGAGTGAGGAAAAAGATAAATGTGCAATTAATTAAAGTAGCTAAGTCTCTAACTCAATATCATCCAAAATCTTCAACATTGAAAACACGATTTATTTGTCAAATTAAATCAACATTCATGTTGTGATCTTACCGGAAAAAGATGGGCATTTGATATCCAATATTTAAGACAAAATCAACATTTTACCATTGGTACACGAATCGTGTACCCTAATTATGCGCTTCAGCCTCAGTTGTATCAAGAGACTCGAAGGACGAGGCTAGACACATTGCACCAAATCAAACGGCGTATGTAGACAGGAATAACCAGACGCTAGAAATTTGCACTCGCTTGAGACTGCTGGCTTATTTCGCCGAACATAACTGATTTGAAATTGGAGTAAAAACGGAAACCATTGAATTTACATCAGTTTATATACATTCATACTACAGTATTATATGCGTTTTGTCAATTTCTAGGTCCCAAATGTTAGCGATTTAGCTCCTTTAAAGTGTCATCTATTTATTTTGGGATTGTAGCGGGAGACATCAGCTCCACTGCTCCCTTGTTCAAGTTGTCAAAGCTTCTTTTACGATTACACTCACTGACCTCCATGTTTCGTTCCTCTAGCCATTGGATTTATACCTGGATCGAACCACAGAGCCACCAGTGCTGACGCATCAGTATATTTGACATCATTTCGAACGAAGGGGTGATTAAATTCTGGATTAATCGATACTAATATTTGTGACTGTCGTCTGTCTGTTTGTCTGTCTGTTCAGGATTGGCGGCATTTTATATAAAGGGGTAGCTTGTAACGGGAAGTAACATAGGCTAGGTGACGTTGGTCTACCGCTTCCGGTTTTGTAGTTATACTTTCAACCCGTGCAGCACCGGGTCATCCGCTAGTGTTATTATATTTTAATTATATTATATTTTAATTATATTTATCATGTTACAGTTTTACCAATTAGATCGTCTATACCAATTATCATGGGAGCCAATATCGGTACATCAGTAACCAATACTATAGTAGCACTTGGTCAAATCACCAACAAGAATGATTTCAGACGAGCTTTTGCCGGGGCCACCGTACATGATATGTTTAATTGGCTAGCTGTTATTGTCTTATTACCTCTAGAAATAATAACTGGTAAGTACAGTTGTAGCATAGTCTCAATCTAATTAAAATACAGATCTTTGTTTCGTTTCGTTTTTTTTTATACTTTCGATGTCCTACACTGAATGAAGATCTGACCGGTTGTAGTGGCAGGTCGCATCATGGTTCATTTCATACGAGCGGCGTTTGACTCTATGACGTCAGATATTGGTTAATTAATCAGCGGTAACGTTTCCAGTGGTTTGAGCAAGCAGCACGCCAAGAAGTCAACTTAACAGACCGTTTCATTGACTAATCCCTTACATCAATCAGAACACGTCAATAATAACAACTCTTCCAGATCCTAGTGTAATAAAAACAAATAAAACGAAATATTGAACTATAAAAAACGAAACGAAATAGGATCTGAGTTTTAATCAGATTGTTAAAGTCTCTATGCATCATTTTTGCACTATCGAATCTCCTGCAGAGTACAATATTGTGAACAATGACTGTCTAATAGGCATTTTGGTCCAGAAATGGTTCCGTATTTTCTACAAAAATTGACTTGTCAAACGAATCAATACTTGTCGATTAACGTTAATCAAAAAATATTTTCAAAGCACGGCGATTAACCGATCATCTGTCATGGTTAATGAAGACGGGCTTACGCCGTAAGGTTTGCTATGAGGGGAAATTTTGCTACAGCCTTCTTATTCCAACTATCAACGATTCTTTTACATTCATGGCAAAGGTGTACATGGGGCCTTAGTTTGCGCCCCCTCCCCACCCCGAACAACTAGACAGTCCCTCGCCTGGTCCGCCATCAGGCACTACTGACAATGCCAAACGACGTCGGAAAATCCTAAAGAACTTTCTCGGCCAACACCAACAGCTAACCCGAGACCTACTGGTTAGCGACCCAGCGTGACACACACTGCCCCAACGGCGACCGCGGGGACTTAAATAAGAGTAAACGAAAATAAATAGAAACGAAATGAAATGAAATGAAATGAAATGAAATGGGGTTTAACGTTCTACTGATCTGCTCCTATACTGGGTAATGAAGATGGGCATACGCCATACAGTGTGCTATGTGGGAAATTTTGCCCGGGCAGCGGCACTATCGCCTACTCTTATATCGAATTCCAACTGCAAAGAGATCTTTTACGTGCATGCCAATGTATACATGGGACCTCGGTTTTTCGTTTCATCCGAAGGACTAGACAGCTGTCCTTGTCAGGCCCTCCGTCCTGCATCACTGACAAGGGGGAACCACGCCGGAAAATCAGGATGAACTTTCTCGGCTAATGCAGGGATCGAAAAATAGAAACGAAGTACTAATAATGTAAGTAATGACGATACACAGTCTGGATCAGTGATAGGCTATGTTGTATGATAATATGTGTAATTCTTTTGTAGGCTACTTATTCCATTTAAGTGAAGTAATAATAAAGAGCTTGCCCTTGGAGACAAATAAAGCTGCGAAAAAAGATTTATTGAAAGTTATAACCAAACCCTTTACTGAGTTGATCATACAGGTAGATTCAATACTCTCTCTCTCTCTCTCTCTCTCTCTCTCAAATGAACTGGCGTTTAACGTCCTACATGTCTGCATCGACACTCGGCTAATGAAACTGGACAAACGCCATACAGTATGTTATGGGGTAAATTTTGCCCGGATAGCGGCGCTGTCGCCTGCTACGCATTCCAATACGTGCACGGGACCAAGGATTTCCGTACCACCCGAACACTGTTCTGTTGTCATGCCCGCTGTCTGGCCCCACTGACAAAGGAAAAATCCCACCTGAAGATCCCGATCAGTTTTCTCGGCTAAAACCGGAAGCTTACCCAAGACCGCTAGGTCAGCCAGCCATTGCCTTACCCACCGAGTCACCGCGACTCCTTGACACAATTAATTGAAATTTCTGTTCTATTCTGTTTTAAAGGTGGATAGTAAAGGTATTACTAAAATCGCTACGAACACACACGACGTCGGTGCAGTCAAGTTGATGAAATCGTGTTGTGATAAGACAAAGCCGGAAGCCTGTTGTTTGGACGATTTTAACTCCACTATTTCTCAATATACGACATCAATGAGGACGCAGTTCTGTGATACGATGCAAGCGAACTGTTTCAAACCACCGATGAACACTTCTACTGACAACTGCCTTAAATCCTGGGTTGACTCATCTAACGCCAATGACACATTTAATTGTAAGGCGTTTACAACAAACTACACAACCACCTGTTACAAGCCATGTAAGTACCAATCGCATTAAAATACAGATCTATATTTCGTTTCGTTTTTTTATACTTTCGATGGCCTACACTATATGAAGATCTGACAAGTTGTACTGGAAGGTCGCGTCATGGGTCGTACGAGCGGCTTTTGACCCTATGACGCCAGACATTGATTAATTAATCAGCGTTGGTGTTTCTAGTTGGTTACCTCACGCAAATAAACTCTCCGTTTTATTGTCTAACCCCTCACATCATCCAGAACGTGGGTTATATAACAATGCTTCCAGATCCTATTGTAGTATAAACAAGTAAAGAGAAATTTTGAACTATAAAAAACGAAACGAAATAGGATCTGTGTTTTAATCTGATTGCATCACACCCCTAACAGCGTTTGACGAACCTATACTGCTGGAGTAAACCATCGTTTGTGGCTTAACTAGAGTTACATACCTTTAGTAAAGTTAACCTTCACCTCATTCACGTAGGGATTTCGTTTCTCGAAGATATTGTCTTTGTTTTTGCTCCATCGTACACTGAGCGGAGTATTTTAGCCTCGATTATCATGCAATTTAGGTGAAATCTAATCTGATTTGTTGGTCGTTTTTGTAGGGGTTTCATCGTTAGTCTCAGTGGTTTTATGCGCATGTGTGAGTTGATCATTGGTTCATTCTTGACTTGAATGGGTAGGTCGTGGAGGCAATTATTCTTGCCCTAGCACTGGGGTAAGTGGATACCGCGAATAACGAAATCCATGAAAATGTAGCTTCGCCGTGTCCATTATTTTGCCCCGAAAATTGTTTGAGAATAAATCACTGAGGATGGTGTAAGGGCATGTTTAATTGTTCTTTTTTATAATTAATTATAATTATTTTTCAGGTGAATACGCCTTTAAAGGGTTAGACGAACATATTGGCGAAGAGGGAGTGGGCGCCATCTTGTTAGTGGTAGCCCTGGCCATCCTTTGTATTTGCCTGGTAGTTATCGTAAAAATGCTTCATCAGTTACTGCGAGGACAACTAGCTGTGCTAATTAAAAAGTTCATCAACGCCGAGTTCCCGGGTAAAATGGCCTATTTTACGGGTTACATCGCCATTTTGTTGGGAGCTGGTTTAACCATCCTGGTGCAGAGCAGCTCTATCTTCACCTCCACGCTTACACCCTTGGTCGGCATGGGAGTCATCGAAATTGATCGAATGTATCCATTGACGCTTGGTGCTAACATTGGAACCACTACTACTGGTCTTTTATCGGCTCTGGCCCAGGATGCGGACACCATCGCCGATTCCTTGCAAGTGGCTTTCTGTCATTTGTTCTTCAACATCAGTGGAATCCTGATATTCTACCCCTTTCCATTCTTCAGACCACCGATTCCTTTAGCTAAATTCCTTGGAAACCAAACGGCTAAATATCGATGGTTCGCTATCGTCTATATTTTCTGCATGTTTTTCATCTTCCCAGCTCTGATTTTTGCGCTCTCTGTCCCTGGGTGGTACGTCCTGGCCGGTGTCATGATTCCAATCGTTGTATTTTGCATCATTGTCGCTTTTATAAATTGTTTACAACGAAAGAGACCAGGGTGCTTACCACCTGTTCTCAGAAACTGGCATTTCTTACCAGAACCTTTGAGATCTTTAAGACCAATAGATAGATGTTTCACCAAATGTAAATGTTGTCGTCAAAAAGATGATGATTATGTTGATGGCGACAAACCCGCTATTCAAATGGACCACAATGGTCACAGTAATGGGAAAGTGGGTGAAGATAACCAAGGCTATGTAATAAATACCCATCTGTAAGGGGAATACTATGGGCTTGGTGTCTTCCATAAAATTCGTCTCCCATGACAAAACAAGATGGTGCGCATAACCGAAATACATTTGAGAGAAACGTAAATTCATTGGTCTTATAAGTTATTGGTTTAACAATGTTATTTAAACGTAGGTTTGGCGGGTACCAAATCATGACGTCAATCAAGGGTATCATTTGAAGATGCATTATCTTAGATTTTGATTAAAGAAAAAGGCTGGTCGTTCGAGCTACAATAGTTAAAAAAATAGATAATAGAAATAAATTTATTGACAATTTCAGTCAAATTACTTTATTCTTAGCAAAATTATAAGACGATTGTCCAGTACTAGTGCTGCGATAATAAACAAAGTCCCGATTATCTATTTTAAGACCTTACATAACGCATCTTTAAGTGATTTACAATATAAATAGATGTAATATAATTATATTTTTCTTGTGAATTTAATATATTGTAATATATACCCATTTTATACATGGTTCAAAATATAAACTTACATTGTACCCATTACAAGTCCGCCGAAATTTGATATAAACATATTACCCTTTAAACTGCCAGTTTCTACCGTCCATTATCCAAACTGTATGCTTTGAGAAACTGTCTTAAATATGAAAAAACCGCCGCCCCCTGACTGCTTTTTATCCCGCACCGAAAGAAGGTAGGAAGGGATATTGAAATGGGCCCCGCCCGTCCCGATTTCGTATCCAGAGCATATCTCATACACCGTTGAAGATATATTTTTGAAACTTTGTACACACATCAACCTATTACAACAGTTGTGACTTTTGCTATTTAGGAATTTCTTGGATTTATATTCTCTGTGATTCAATGGAACCAAATTTGACTTAGTGTTTGGTGTACAATTGTGGGCATATCTCATAAACCATTCAAGATATCGTCATGAAACTTTGCACAAACAAAATAGTTGTGCCATTTGCTAATTAGAAATTTCTCGGATTTCTCGGATTTTTGTGTTTTCATGGAAACAAATTTTGCCGTTGAATGATTTCTGAATTTTTACTACACATTTGACGTAGTTTTTGGTATATGATTATTATTCTAGAGCACATCCCTGAACTGTTCCAAGATAACTTTATAACACTTTTACATTCATCAACCTATTATTTTATTTTCTGATGACCGTCCTTCCGACCCGATTTCGTTTCCGGAGCATATTTCATTATCCGTTCAAGAAATCTTTTTGAAACTTTATACAAACATCAACCTATTATAGCATTTTATGTTCTGGTATGTAAGCTTAATGTTTAACATACAGCGGCTGATTGAGGTAGGCAAAGGTTGTTGTGCAAACATTACAGTGAGTAGCGACTGTGCCTTGCCGAGCTACTATGATCAGAGTATGAATCTGACTAGTTCCATTGATATTCCAAGATGTTGTTTTTCCTTATGCCTTCCAAACACGTGCAAGGGCGCGGATTGATGATAATATTCCAAGATGTTGTTTGTCCTTATTCCTTCCAAACAAATGCAAGGGCGCGGATTGATGATGACTAGTCAACTTGTTTTCTTCAATTTTGTGATTTTCAAAATAAGGCCGATATGGCAATGGAAAATAAATTCCCTCATGTTATAAGATCTGTTTTAATGAACTTTGCTCACAATTCGCTCAGACAAAAGCTACTGATTTATTTACCATTTGTAAATATGTAATATATGTGATTTTAATATTATATATTTTAATATATCATTTTTCTTTTATACTGTTATAAAGCCGTTGGTCATCATGTGCTTTTTCACATACCTCTTTTGTCTCCAGCTTAATCGACGCTAAATATGCACGCGTATTAATTATTTGTCATTTAATTCAGAAAAGAAATCTAACATATGAACGTTATATTGTCTGTAGGGAATTCCGAGTGTTGTGGAAGTTTCTGTCCCCCATATGTTTGTGAACGGAATTGAACCATCGTTGTTTATAAGGGATGAAACATCCCCGACTTGACGACCAACGGCTATAAGGTATTTGAACTCTGCATTTTCGCTCATCTTATCTCTATCGCCTTCTCATATGCACTTTCGATGTTGATAATCGATACAATATAATTGAAATTAGATCACAGTATTTTCTTGCGTTTATCTTAGGGATTTTTTTACACTATTGCGCCCAATATTAGAAATAATTTGACAACTTCGTTTCCTTTTGGGGTACAATTTTTAAAATTAAACGAAATGAGATTGCCAGCTGATTTGGTTATATGGCAATTGAACACTAATTTCGTTTCGTTTTTGGGTAATTGTAAAATAACAGGGAACAAAATTTCGTTTCGTTTTCGGGTAATTGTAAAATAAAGGGAACAAAATCAAAATGGACATCTGATTTGAATAATATGGTAATTGTGTAATTATATGGTAATTATATGGTAATTTATGCACACGGTGATCTTTATCACAATATCCCTAATATTCTTAACCAAACAAGCATCTGTATCGATTGATATTCAGAACCACAAGAAATTCATATCACTTTTTATTTTTTTGTATGTACAAATTCAAACATTTTTTATTTATACACAAGTTTGTTTTTTTTAAATAAAATAATTTTATATTTTATAAGTTAATCGTTAACGGTGGTAATACAGCATCTTATTGGTTATATTCGTTTATATTTATGATAAAAAAAAATAATAAAAATTTGAAATAAAAACAGTAACAATAAATCGTTGTTTAACTCTATCCAGGGGTGGACTAAGTAGCTCTGGGCCCTCGGGTGAATTTGTTTCTTTGGGCCTCCTATTTGTTGAACTCTATCTAGGGGTGGAATGGCTAGCTCTGGGCCCTCGCATCAATTTGTTTCTTTGGGCCCCCTATTTGTTGAACTCTATCCAGGGATGGACTGGGTAGCTCTGGGCCCTCGGAACAATTTGTTTCTTTGGGCCTCCATCTCGGTGACGAGAAAACGAAACTAGCTTGATTCAACTCTCCAAAACCCAATCTGATTAAAACACAGATCCTATTTCGTTTCGTTTTTATAGTTCAAAATTTCGTTTTCCTTGTCTTTACTACATTAGGACCTGGAAGAGTTGTTATCATTGACGTGTTCTGAATGGTGTGAGGGCTTTGTCAATGAAACGATCTGTTACGGCGAGCTTTAAGCGTGTTTTGCACGGAACTGTGGGTAATCCACTAGTAACATCAATGCTGATTGATTAGTTAATAATCAAATGTCTGACGTCATAGGGTCAAAAGCCGCTCGTATGACCTCTGACGCGACCTATCAGATCTTCATGTAGTGTAGCTGGCCATCGAAAATATAAAAAAAAAAAAAAAAACGAAACGAAATATAGATCTGTATTTTCATCAGATTGTCTAAAACCCCGTGCATAGATCATTTGTCTCTTTGGCTTGTTGGGGATCACGTGGCTAAGTGGGTAAGGCACTGGCTCGCTAGCCTGGAGGTCGGGTGTTCGATCCCTGCATTGGCCAAGAAAGTTCATCCAGATTTTCCGACGTGGTTCCCCATTGTCAGGGATGCAGGACGGAGGGCCTGACAAGGACAGCTGTCTAGTCATTCGGATGAGACGAAAAACCGAGGTCCCGTGTACACATTGGCGTGCACGTAAAAGATCCCTTGACAGTTGGAATTCGATATAAGAGTAGGCCGTAGTGCCGCTGTCCGGGCAAAATTTCCCTCATAGCACACTGTATGGCGTATGCCCATCTTCATTAGCCCCGTTCGGAGCAAAACAGTAGGACGTTAAACCCCATATCATTTCATTTCATTTCATTTGTCTCTTTGGATTTAGGTCATTATATTAGCCGGTTGATGCGATGATGGATTTTATTTCATTTGGACCACATCCGACGGCCCGAGCCCAGTACGCCCCTTGACTGTACCTGTCCCCAAACTGTATTGATCTGCAATTACCCACGACCCCAGTTTCCAGTAAGTTTACATACACATGTGATCCTTCTGCCACCTACTTCCTTTAGGAACTGTCTCTGATCGGACTATGTTCGCTTGCAGTTCCTACCGCTTGCTATACATCTGCAATATGAAAATACGGTAAAATACCGCTCTTCCCCACCTCTGTTCTCAGGCTATTTTGGAACTCTTACCATCTATTTTTTTCTCCGTGAATGTTTATTCTTCGCAAAATGAATCATTTCTCGTCATATCTGACACAAAGTTATAATAATTCAACACTATTTTCAAGTAGAATTTAGCGATTAAATAAACATACGGTCCGCGCATGTTCGACTCTTGTAATGTTCGATCAGTTCAAACGTATTTTGTGTATGTTGTATATCGCAAAATTCTGCTTGAAAATAGTGTTGAATTATTATAAATGCGTGTCACATGTGGCAAGAAACGATTCCTCCTTTGGCAAGCAAAGAAGAATCAGGGTGATAAATAGTCGGTAAGGATTCAAAAATAGCTTTAGACCAGAGGTGGGGATGAGAGGTATTTTCATATTGCAGCTGTATAGCAAGCGGTAGGAACTGCCAGCGAACATAGGCCAATCAGAGACGGTTCCTATCGCTTTATATACAGCTGCAATATGACAATACAGCTCATCCCCATCTGAAGATCATTGTAGTCAATACACCCAATATATTCCATAATGCAAGTGAAATCCCTTGCCCGCTAGTGACACACATACTCCTTAAAACATAAACAGAAACCCCTACACAACCGTACGACTATCCAATACTACCAAATACCAGTTGTAGCCAATCGGTACATACCATTATGGAATAACCAAATTGGCTAAAGGGAGATAATATGCCAGCAAGTGACGTAATCCGTAGGCAGACCACCATTAATTTCCACACTGACTTCAATGTTAATTCTGGCCTCCTTGCTCACATCTAACATTTCCCTAAATTTTTGCTGGGCTGAATGCATTTCGCTACAGACAGAGGAACAAATCGTCATGTCTTTGCACTACAATTTGTATGAGGTTGACATCCCAAGTTTTGAGATACACAAACTTGAAGAACCATACTAAAAAACATGTAACTATTTGCCGTATCACCGTAACCAACCTGATAACTGTGTTATCCTTCCGCCCCAAAATCATGAATATTTATCAAAATAATTCAAACCCTCTTAGTCCATTCTAGACCAAAAAATCAACAAAAATGGGCATACAAAATGGTACGAAAAAAAGACAGAGAGAGAGAATTGCTATAAATAGACGAAGTACAATTTGTGAAATTTAATGGTGGTCTGCCGCCATACTACGTTGAACATGAACGAAAACCTCCCTACGGTCGTGGGACTGCCAAGGACAAGCCAACACGTTTCGTGCGGGTTCCAATCGTAGCAGATCGTTATCTGTCTAACGTTTTCTTATCTCCGAGTTGGACTTTGGGTTCTGGGATATTTTTGCGGGTCATTTTTATAGTTCATTTTGGCAATCACTTTCACATGAGTTAACTATTCTCTAGAATAGCGTACAATTTGGAGAGGTGGGGTTTAACGTCCACTCGACGACACAAACTAGGTCATTTCGGGACTAACGCATGGTTAAATTTTAGTTAATTATTAATTTGCTTGCGCGTAGGGGTCTTTAACAGTAGGAGGAAACCGGAGAACCCGGCGAACCCAGAGAAAACCCACCAGGTTATAAACAGTATATACTATGTGCAATCTGGACATTAATGAAACCACTTACTTAGGAGGACAGTGGCCCTTTGATTATAATAATGACTTACTTAGGAGGACAGTGGCCCTTTGATTATAATAATGAAACCATATGTAATAATATAAACGCCTAATCGTAATGTATACATTAATGAAAACCACTTAATTAGTAGGGAGCGTGTTAACCCTAGACAAATATGAAATTACCTTAATCAAAAAACATTAGCGAGGCCTCTTGACTGACTCTTGTATGAAAATAATACCTTAAAGATACCTTCCCGTTTATAAACTGGGTGATTTGATGATGTGTTTGGACTAAAAACATATTCAAACTGATTAATCTGTCAAAATTTTGCTTCAAATCCTTCTCAAAACACTGTTTAAGCGAGGGAATACCCCCGCTATAAAAATATCTATTAAAAGAGTCATGTTTGTGTCACATGACTTCGCTGACAAACTACCTAGCAACGGGTGCGAGGTCGGAGGAGAATTCATTGCATACACAAGACGATGTTGTCTTTAATTGCTATCCATTTATCATAAATATATCGAAGCCTAATTAAATTCTCGGATTTTCCGCTGTCCACGTCTTTTTCCGTGATTTTTATCTCAGAAAGTGTTGTACGTCTAACTCTTCATAAGGTTTATCAACTTGTACATCAAGCACTCAATCTCCGCGTGCAACCTTTGACGTCACGCGAGCAGACATTCCTAATCGTCGGGCTGCCGATTAGGGAAACCCTTACATTTTTGTCCTGTATCCGCTCCATGAGTGTTTTTCAGGGAATCCAGTATTTTTCTAGTAAGATTGGATATTTCTGTTTTCCATATATACAAAAATTGCCATACTTTTATTGGAAATAAACACCCGATAAATACTTTTCTGGGAACGTATCTTTTAGCGGCACAATAGTATAAAAATAACTCATACATTAGTGGGAAAAGTTATACTCAATTAATTACAATATTCAAGCCCAAAAAAGTACTATTATTAGTGAATCGCTTATCAACTAGTGATTAAAATTCAACGTGTAATGATGAGTGTATAAAATCGAAATGTTTTGATCTCTTGAATTGTATTATTAGGGACCTTTCGCATTGGTACCAAAACGAACACCAAAACGAACCTTTACGTTTACGTTTTCGTATCCTCTAACACGCGGTTTCGCAATCCGACGTACGATAATAACTAGATGGCGTTAATTTCCACTCCATGAACCTCTCGGTCAAGGCAAAGTTTTCAATCGATTTTTCGGCAGATGTACAACAAATCAAGCAGAATATTCCTTGTGAGCACATTCTACGAACGCTACACAATCAACAATATACACAAAGGCTCGAAAAATGGTGAAAAATTCAATATATGAGACAAGAAACATATTCGTTTGCATACCTACGTAAATCCAGCTCCATACGCGTAACGTTTTACACTGGCCGAACACTCATCACAGATTGACGTCACAAGTACACACGAATCGATGACGTTTTCGTTTTCGTACCGGTGCGAAAGGTCCCTATTTAAAAAATACGAATAACGTAATGCATTGTATATACTGAATGAAGTCAAAACATTAAATGTTTTATTGAATTTGAATAGAAACTGATAACAGATTAACACCCACGTGTGGGATATTTCATTCAAATATTGTGAAAGGTTTGGCAATAAAAAGAAATCGTCCTAATCTGTTATGTGTGGGGTTAGTGGCCGAATGGTTAGCGCGTGCACGTTGTATCATACAGTCTGTCATTGAGTCAGCTGGCGTGGTTTCGATTCCCCGGTTGTACGTGACAAGGAGGAGTAGGATCGATTGTCCAACCTCGTGGTTTTTCTCCGGGTCCTCCGGTTTCCTCCCACTGTCAAAGACCCCTACGCGCAAGCGAAGTATTGAAATAAAATTGAACCATATGTTAGTCCCGAAACGACTACCCCTCCCCTGATGACATATTTTCATTCAGTGTGTAACATGTTTAGTCATGGGGTGTAATTTAACTTAATAATACATGTATTTAGTTATTGTCCAATATGTTTCTTGTAACAGTATGGTAGTAATATCATATATTT